ATCCTTTGCCTTACCACGACAATAATGGTAAAGATAGGTAAGTCGTTGCCTATCATCTTTAAATCTATTCTCCAGCTGTTCATCAAACTGACGGAAGAAACTGATATACTGACTAGGTGACCTGTCAAAGCAAGGCAATTCTCATTTAGGCAACTCCAAACGAGTCAGTAACTTATCAACGTTGTAACCTACCATATCCGAACTGGGCCTCGTGTAGAATGTATTCGGATCGCAATACAAGGATACCTCAGCATCCGTGTTGTAACCTTTTCTTCTGCAAAGAGAAGTTTTACACTGATTTCATCATCGACGGGCACATCGTCCACTTCCTCTGCAACACGAGCCAACCTATCTGCTCGCAACGCCGCCGAGGCACGCCTTTTGGCATTTGCAGCTCTTTTCATAGCCTCAGCAGCTTGTAATTCTAGTTGAGCACTTTCCAACTCCAATGCAACATAATTAGATCGGACATCAACCTTACCGCATGTAAGCAAGGTAGCCGGAGATGACTTACCGGACAGGAGTATAGCAGCAGCATCCTCACCACCTAGGTCTTCCGACAACTTTTCATAATCCATTGCTCGGGGCAAAGCGAGGAACAAAGAGTCACAATAAGAAAGTCAGCACAAAGAACAAGAAAGGAGTCACAAAGTCACAAAACAACAATGCACAGTTTGTAAGTGCAACAACCGCAGAACAATATAAAAAGGAATTCCAGTTTCGTATCCGAACGGAAAATTTTCCACAGATTGATTACCGATAAGGAGGTCCAATACTGTTACGGCCGCCCGCTGGAACTGTCTTAAACGCGTACCGTTCAATCGAACGCTTCGTGGTCCCGCAATTGTACGTTTCTCTACCACAAACCCAACGATTGCCCGAAACGTCTAACAATATAAGAACACAGGGAACACCGATCAATAGCAGAATCACGTGCAATACGGTATCTGAAGTATACAATGATACAATAAATTTCATATACATACTTGACCGTGATCCTCAATAGGCGGACCGTATAACGGTAAACGAACAAGTGTTGCTCAACCGAGCGGTATCAAACGAAAATCCAAACTGTTATGTTTCACAGAAATAATAATTAATGGTACAGATAAAAAAGATCAGATTAAAGAGAGAAAAGAGAATACCACTCACAAGAATCCATCCTTCGTCAAAATGTTGTTTTCATCATCCTATACGGTGTTTCAGCCGCCGTAATGCCTGCTTTCTTGCACGAAACTGCTGACCTTAGTCGAAACAGCTGTCGTCTTGCCATGTATGCTGCAGCTTCACATTGGGTACTCCAAATGTAATCTGCAGTTGCAATGACTCCTGACTCAGGTCAGGTCACAGGCTTCGGCCAGTGAACGTCCAGTTTCTTGCACCTATGAGCTGGTGATTCTCACTATGCTGCGACTGCCAGGTAGTTCCATAGTTGTGTGATGGGTGTTGTACCTACAAGAGAAGAGATGAAGAGCATGATAGCCCCGGGGTAGACTGGAGTCCTAATCATTTGACAGGTACCGCACCTCAGTGGACTGCTACTTCTGCCATGAGAGCCTCCCGGGGGGTGAAGACAGAAAACATTTTGTGTTAATTGTGCGTGGGGTGCGTGATGAAATGGAGTGATGGTAAAAATAGACAACGGCTACAACAGGAGGATGTGTGTAGTGAGTGAGACTTGTACTAGTCACTCTGGAAACACCTCGTCCCGGCAGTTGTCTAGTCTCCGCTTGAATTGCAGAACACTAGATGCTGCTACATTTTTAGATGGAAATTTGTTCCATGGGTTTACCACNTAGGCCCCGCACTTCCGTTGCCCCATGGTTTCATTAGCTTCAGTACATGCCCTCTGAGGTTTGGGCTAAGATTTTGTGTGAACAAGGATCTATCTGCTACGGACAATCCTTACAGCTGTTTGAACGTCTCAATCAAGTCACCCCTCAGGCGATGGCGGTGCTATGAGTATGAGTCAAGGGCCGCCAGCCTTTCTTTGTATGACTTACCCTGCAGTCCACTGATCATCCGGGTGAACCTCCTTTGCACTGCCTCAAGCACTTGTTTATTTCTTATTAGAGTAAGGGCCCACGCCTGGACACAGTACTCCAGATGAGGCCACACAAACGCCTTATACGGTGGCAAAAGTACTTCAGCCCCCCTCGATATTACCGTTCGGCAGAGTTGGAATAAGGCCTTCGCTGCGGCTGCCGTGCAGTGCATTGAGGGTTTAAGGTGGAGTGTATCTGCACCTCTAGATCCCTGACTACATCTGCGGGTTCTATGGTGTTCATCGACCCAATGCCTAGTTTACACACCTCCACTGCCCCTCTGTTCAGTAGCAGGTACCTGCATTTACTGGCGTTGAGAGGTAGTTCCCATGAGGCCGCCCAGTCATTAATTGCGTTGAGTGCATCCTGTGAATCCCCCGATGATGGATTCTCCACTACTTTTAGGTCATCTACAAGTAGGAACCCGGGGCACCGGAAGACCTTGGTAACGTCATTTACATACAGCACAAGTAGTATACGACCAAGGACTGAGCCTTGAGACATCCCTCCACAGACTGCTGCCGTCTCCGAGGTTTCCTGTTCCACTCTTACACGGAACGTCCTCTCTTGTAGGTACGCTTCGATCCACCTCATTAACTTCTGGTATACACGCAGGGCTTTCAGTTTTCGCAGGACGAGTCTGTGGTTGACCGAGTCGAAGGCTTTCCTGAAATAGAGGTAGCATACTTCGACTCAATCTCCTGCGTCCAACCTGTCTGTTACCTCGTCCAGAAATGACAGGAGGTTAGTGAGACACAACTTTCTGTTGACAGAGCAGTGTTTTCGGCCAGCTATGAGATGTTGGTCGTCCAAGTATCCCACCAACCTCTCCCTGAGGAGCCGCTCGAAGGTTTTGAGGACAACCGAAAGCAGGCTGATTGGACGATAGTTCTATGCAGCCGCCCTTGATCCACCCTTGTGGATTGACACCACTTATGCCGTGGTCCAGTCGGCCGGCAGCGTTGCTGAGGCAAGGGATCGGTTGTAAAGCTGAGTAAGTGCACCTGCAATAATGTCAGCAATGGGCCGCAGTATTGCTGGATGCTACCCATCCGGGCCCGCGGTCTTGTTCTGGTCCAGATGTCTCAGTGCTGCTTCTACCTCCTTTGTCTCTAAGACAAACGGAGCCATGTACTGTTCAGGAGCCTACCCAGTAGGTCAGGCAACGGCTTTCCCAAGTGGACATTCTCAAAGAATCTCTTTAGGATTTCAACCATCTTGCTAGAGGCTGCACGGACACCATCTGCATTCACTACATTCCCGTACCGCTACCCGAAAGTGGGCCTTAGACTGCACATAGTTGTATTAGGCTTTTGGTTGCTGTTTCGCATTGCGAGCAATCCTACTTCCATATTCCCTCTGGCATTGTCTCTGTATCCTGAGATAATTTCCTCTCGCCAACAGATAGTGCAGGTGATGTCGGTGGCCTCCCATGCTCCGTAGGCAGGTCGCTGCCTTCCGCTTTATGGCTTATTCCCCGACTACCGTTTTGTCAACCAAGGCGGCCGACCCCCTCTTCTGGCCCTTCTTAAAGGCGCGAAAACGTCCTTGAGCCAGGTGATGCAATTCTTGAATGACTAGCACTCATGCTCTACGGAAAGGATGCCGTGTGTTGACCACCGGATTGCCTCTGCTGCTTGCCTGAGCGTCGACACACCCAGCTTCCTATGGTCCCTCTTGAGCTTGTGTGCTACCGAAGGAGGGTTTCCCATGATGTGGAACCTAAGTACTCCATGGTCACTTTTTCCTAAGGGAGCAGATACCCCGAGCTGTTCCACATTATGTGGCTGCTTGGCCAGTACTACGTCCAACATACGGGCCTTTGTCCCTCCCGTAATCTAGTAGATTGGTTGACACGCTGCATCAAGGTTAGCACTGTTAGCAGGTCCACTAGGTTTCTACAAAGCCAGAGGGAGGGGCCCACAGGCTTTCCAAGTCTACCTCTGGAGAGTTGAAATCTCCCATGATGACCATCCGCACCGCGTGAATGTTCACCCTGGTTAGATATTCGCACAGTTGGTCATCCTCCTCCTTAGCTGAAAGTGGTGCCCTGTAGATACCTATTACAGTTAATACACAGTTCGGGGATGATATGTTGCATGAGCATGCCTAGATATTTTACGTAGACATGTGCTCACTATCAGACTGATCCAGGGTGTCCGAAACAAGCAGCACTACGTCACCTCCATCCCCATAGCCACCCTCGTCAATCACAATACAGTCTGTTCCTATGGCTTTAGACCTTAGTTCTCTTTCTGCCTAAGCTGCAGGCGTTCGTGTGCCGATAACCCCCCCACCAGCCCGAGCCCTCTCTTAGCATTGATGCCCTCAGAGTTCAATGCGTACTCGGGAAACCAGCCTGAGTGCTCTCTCCGTTTTTTGTCACCAGCGTACTCCTGGCCCTCGTTCGCTGAGGCTCCGCGGTGGAGGGTGATGACTACATTAGCCGTATGAGCCAACGTAACCCACAATTCCTTACCAGTCTCCGACTGAGTAGGTACACTTGCGCTCGGACTATCAGACCTGGTCCTTCGAACAGCTGTGGGCATTATCTTCCGTCGTACTGAGGTTGGCCCTGGGCATCCTTCGTTGCAAATATGTTCTGTCGGTGATAATTTTTATGCAGCTGAGCCAGACCTGGAAGTGGATCTGGGAAGTTGAGCAGTTAGTGCCAGTGACTGATGGTGCACTCCACTCACCTCTATCCGGGGAAAGCTGCCCCGAGAGTCGCAATATGTCCTGGTAGTCATTAATGTATGTCGGCGAAGGCCAGCCATACGTAGAGGCGTTATCTGCCTAACTTTCTACTTGGACGACCAACATCTCATAGCTGGCCGAC